CATACACACAGATTAAGATGAAGTTACTTTCAGTAAGATATTGTTATAATAATAGCACCAATGGTCTACCACTAAGGTAGATTTGAATATCTTCTCTATAAAAGCATTTGGACCAATTTCAGATCCTTTCTGCCTTCAAATGTCAGTCTATCTACATGCTTATTCACTGATACTTGAGTCAAAAAGTGTAATGAACACTGGACCATCCTTCTTGAGGTCATTTGCACTGTCCTCTTTTATTTCTCAATAGTTTGCTGCAGCATACTATGAGAACACATGTCTGCCATCTTTTAACTTCATAGCATTGACAGACTCTAGAGAGATCCAGAGGGCCCTCTCTCTGCTGGTTCTCCTGATATACCTAATTTATCTGCTGAGTTACCTAGAAATGATCATGATAATTCTGAATCTCCAGCCTCACATCCCTATGTATGTTTTCCTTACTCAATTCTAATTTCTTGACCTGTTATTCAAATGACATCACACCTAAAAGCTTAGGGAACTTTCTGACTTCCACAAAGAGCATTTCAATCATGGGCTGCTTCAACCAGATGTCCTGTTTTATCATGTTTAGAGTTTTCTTCTCTCTGTAATGGCCTATGATCACAACATAGCTGTCACTAAACCTCTATATTATCCAGCAATTATGTCACCAAGACTCTGTCATTCTCTGCTCACTGGCTGCTACATGATTGGCTTTATGGATTCCTCTGTCATCATCCTTTAGAAGAGTAGGTTACAATACTGAAACTGCAATATAATCCATCACTTTTTCTGTGAAACATCCCAATTTTAATCCTGTCCTGCAGTGACACCAATGATACTGAAATCATAATATTCCTCATTGCTGGTTCCACACTGATGGTCTCTCTTTACATAAAATGGTATATCCTATATGTCCATTCTGTTGACTGTTTTGAAAATCAGTTCCACTTTAGGAAAGCAGAAAGCCTTCTCCACCTGTGCCTCCCAACTGCTGGAGTCACCATTTTTTATGGCACCACTATCTTTACTTATTTAAAACCCAAGAAACATTTAAAACCCAATGCAACTTTGGCAAATGATCAAGTGCTGTCCGTGTTTTGCACAATTGTGATCCCCATGCTAAACTCATTCATCTATAGACTTAGGGACACAGAAGTAAAAAACGCTTTCATTTGAGCCATGCAGAAGAAAGAGAATTTCAGGAGATGAAAATAACAATCGTGCTAAGCATTTAAAATCAGCTCTATTATTTTTTTTGTTGGGGGTGGGAAGCAAAGGAATGTCCTACCTCACTCTGAAAACATGAATCCTTCCTTTATATTTGTCCATGGTAATTTTTTCTTGTGCATAGTCTCAGGTATTTCTGAGGGCATGTTTTCAGAAATGTGTATTTATAATTGCATATCATGAAAAATGTGTCAAGTGTATGGTACCCATATATGATTTCCTTTTAAGCAGAACAAATGTTCAAGATATGATGACATTCCTATGCTATATTACAATGTTTTAGAATATATTGTTAGATAGTTGTACAATGAGTTTACAATTCCCTAAGTGAGGTTTTGAGTACAATTCATCTCAATCAACATCCTTCCTTCCACCAGTCTCCATCTTTCTCCCTCCCAAGTCCCCAAGCTATGTAGTATAGTGTTTGTGTTTGGACATAAATGTTACTGTCTCATGTATTTGGATAAAAGAAATAACTGTCAAATTATTGAACTCACAAATACAAAAATAGTTCAAAAGGAAACATCACCAGTTCCCAAGTTTTTAATGTATTTACACCAAAGTAACTCTTGAGTTGGAATTCAGTATAGGAAAAAAACATATTATAGGTTGGAGAATATTTGCCAAATATTGAAGTGTATTAAGAAAGAGAAACATTGTAAATATTGGAGATAGTGACGTGCATGTGTTTGTATGTTTTTATATGTAAATGATTGTGAATATATGTGCATATATGTATATATATATTACATTTTGGAACAAAATTTCTGTCATTTCCTAGGCTCTCTTTTGCAGATTTCTTAATTGAATAAAAGCAGTTAAACATTTAATAATCTCTTGTCAACCCAAACTGTGCAATAAATGTCTTTTCAATTATTTATGCAGAATTAAGTGGTCTGTTATAGGGTAAGATTCCACATGTAGCAATTATCTTCTAAACATTTAAAACTTATTCTCATCTATGACATATCAAGAATGCACTCAACTGATTCATTGCCTTTATTTGATTCCTTTAGATGTGTAATAATTACGCGTTGCCAATAAAGTCTTCGATTAAATGCTGGATACACATTTTTAATATATATAGACAGAAGTTATAGAGCAACAAGTTGACAATGTATTACAGTTTGTGGTATCCTATAAACTGGTTATGTAGTATTCTAAAAACTATTTAATTTATAAATTTTTATCCACATTTTCTTTTGTATAAGCTGTTATTTTTCTCTATGATTTAAAGTTTAATGTATAGTGTCTCCTATCTTCTTTCTTCTTTTCACTTTTTTCCTTTCCTTTTTATAATTTTTTGTTGGTGTTGTTGTTTTTGTTTTACCAATCCTAGCTTTTGAATCAGTCTTGTACTGCCTAAGAAAACAGCATGCCTATAGCCTTATTTACACTAGTTTATTTATTTATTTAATTTGTTCATTTAATTTTACTTTTATTGTCAAGGTGATGTACATAGGAGTTCTAGTTACATAAGTGAGGTAGTGAGTACTTTCCTTGTCAAACTTGTTACCCCCTCCTTCATTTTCTCCCACTTTCTCTCCTCCCAACAGCCCCCACCCAAATTTGTACAAATCATTTTTAACTTGATGTCTTGTGTGTTTGTAACCACTGGCCTAGGGACAGGATATTCCTATGTACATTTACTGTGTAGCTGGGATTATGGGCATATAGCATCATGCCTGGCTTATGTTTTTACACATTTTCTCACTAATGTTTTGCCTGGGACAGTCTCAAACTACTATCACTCTAATACCTTGCTTCCTTAGTAGGAGAGTTACAAGTATTAGCCACCATACTTGGTCCTATGGTTTTAATTTCTGCTTAATTTTTATTTATTTATTTATTTTTTATTTGTGAATATACTGTACAGAGGGGTTACAATTACATGGGCAGGATAATGCCTACATTTCTTACCAAGCATTGCAGCCTCCTCCTTTGGTTTACCCTTCACATCCCTTCCCAGCCTCCCCCCTCCCCCCCAATCCCAACCCAATTTCTGTTTAATTTTAAAATATTTAAATTTTATTTATTTAAATTTAAATCTAATAATTTAATATATAGTCTATTAATCTATTTAATTTAAAATTTAATCTAATTAAATATTTAAATTTCCTTGGTGAAATTTGTGTAACTTTAGGATGCATTATACTCATAAAATAACATTAAGTTGAAGCCCCATTATACAACTGTTTAAAGATAATATAAATACCCAATCAATCAATAAATACTACATATCTACATGATACGTTTTTATAACATTTGTCTTTGGTAAGTTAACAATTTTAGGTAAAATTATATGTGAATATATTTCCCATTACTTTCTAAGTGCTTAAAATTAAACTTTTAGGAGTTAATCTTTTAATTTTCTGAGGGTTTATTTTGGGGGTGGGGCTAATTTTTTGAGCTCTAAGTATATTTTTTTGATGTGAACCTTTGTTTGATGTAACCTAGTGAAGATTTTCTCCCATTCTGTGGGCCTTCTATTTATCTTGCTAGCTCTGTTCTTTGCTACACAGTTCTTCAGATTGATTCTATCTCATTTATCCAATCTTTCTTTGATTTGTTGTGAGTCTGGATCTTTAGGAAGTTATGCTCCATGTATAGAAGGCTTAGGTTAGTGTTTAGTCTAATCTCATCATTTAACAGAATGATGCATTTAGGCAGCTGATTGGGTCTTGTATTCAGAAAACCTGTAACAGGTTTCAGTCACATGAACAGTAAGAGCCAAAAATTTGTAATTGTTTAATGACAGGAAGTGGTATAATTTTTGGTCCTTGATTCATTCCTCATATATCTGTCATGTTCATATAGATTATACTGCGTGGCCACTCAATGCTCTTTTACATGTTCCTTTCTCAAGGAACTGTAATTTGTTTTATAACAAAATAAAAAGCAAATTAAAGCCACATAGCATCACATGAAAACTTCCTTTCACAACTTTATTACTTTGATTTAAGTGATAGAGAAACAGAGGGGTTGGGGGAAGAAAACAGAAGTAGAAAGACTTGTATATTCACTACCATTCTAGATGCTTATTCTGTGGGTATATGTTTGAGGACTATAATAATGAAAGAGCATAGAGAAATCCCCCAAGTCTGGTTAAATTTTTAGATATTATAACAGTCACGAATATAGTTATGTACATACATATACCTGCATATACATAATATGACATGCCTAGAAGCTTGTTTCTACTCTACACTTTTATTTCTTTCTTCAGACAAAAGAAAATACTAAATTTTAAATCTTATACTAATTATTTTTGGTAGCTTCAGGTAGAATCCAGTCAATTTCTGGGTCTCAAAGTATCAAGAAAAGAATTTAATAAATTGAGAATGAATTTAATAATGGCATGTTTACATACAGGGTGGATCTCAGTGTGGGAGAGAATTTCAGAGGGAAAAAAATCAGATATGGGAATTCTTTCATGGGGATTTCACAACAGGAATTTGACTCCATAATGCATGCTGACGAATTGCTGTGAGAAATGTCATCATTGTTTTATAGTAAAGTATTCAAAAGCATGAACTGTGTTTAAGTTAAGTGAAAAGTAATCACCCAACTACTATCAACAATAACACTTATGTCCAATAATGTTTAATACCCATTTTGGACTGTGTATTTGGCATACAAAAGACACAATTTACTTCAACTGGAATAATGTTGCATGATCACACTCTTAAGTAAAACTTCTAATCATTTCTTATCTAGTTTATGACCATATAATTCAAAGGGCATCCGTTATATTTTCTTTTAGTTTTACTCAATTCTTAAAACATGCTTCAATTACTAACTTCTTTCAGCAATTTTTTCATTGCTTGCTTCACATCTTTGTTTCTCAAACTGTAGATAACAGGATTGAGCATGGGGATCACAATGGTGTAAAATATCGACACGATCATGTCATGGTTTGAATCATAGCTGGAATTTGGTCTCATGTAGCTGAAGAGGATTGTCCCATAATAAATGGACACTCCAGTCAGGTGAGATCCACACGTAGAGAACACTTTCCTCCTCCCTTCAGCAGAACGCATTTTCAGAATGGCCAACAGAATGAAACCATAGGATACCAGGACAATCAGAATAGTGACTATCTCAATACCACCCACAGAATAGAAGAGTATAAGCTGGTTCATTTGAGTGTCAGAACAAGAAATTGCTAATAGTGGGGGAATATCACAGAAGACATGACTGATTTCATTGGATCCACAGAAAGACAGACTGAAAGTGGCCACTGTGTCCATAGTGCCATTAGCAATACCAGCAACATAGGAGGCGATGATGAGGGACACATAGACTCTGGGTGACATGCTCACTGAGTAGAGGAGAGGGTTGTAGATGGCAACATACCTATCATAAGCCATTGCAGCCAACAGGAAGGCTTCTGTGGTTCCCAAAGTCACAAATAGAAACATCTGGGTTACACATCCAATAAAGGAAATGGATTTATCTTCTGCTAAGAAATTGACCAACATTTTGGGGGTCACAGCTGTAGAATAACAGGCATCCAAAAATGATAAGACACTGAGAAAATAGTACATGGGTGTGTGAAGGCGGGCATCCCCTATCACCAGTACAACCAGGCCCAAATTTCCTATCAGTGTGAAGAGATATATCGCAAGAAAGAGTAAAAATAATACAATTTTCAGGTCAAAATCATCTGTGAAGCCCATCAAAATAAACATGGTGACTTCAGTCTTGTTTTTTAAATGAATATTATATATGTCCAAGTCTGGTGACAGTCTGTCCATTTTACCTTTGAATCTTTACTTCCAAATGATGTGTCCAGTGGGAATATCTTCTGTCTCTATCCTTGTCTGTATCTATGTTAAGACCTTATCTTGTTTGGTAATAAAGAGATGGGCTGTAATGAAAAATTAGACACGAGCACATCAATTTAACTTATAACATAGTAAGATATCAATTTTGTTCACTTGTGGGCTATTTTCATCATTTTTGACAATGTTGTAAATTAATGTTATTTTATATATCTCAGTGAATACTGGAAGAATATTCTACCCCTTCTGGGTATAAGACATGACCTGAAAATTCTCCAGGATAAATACATATAAGCATATATATATATATACATATATATATATACATATATAAATATGTGTGTGTGTGTGTGTGTGAACAATACATACTCAGGTAGTAATCCCAGTTTTGTTACCCAGCTCTTTTATATTTCATATCTCTTAAAATAAGAGAACCCAAAATCGCCTCACAGGTAAATATGAATGTTAAAAGGATATATGTGCTTACTGCTCAATGGTTGGCATTTTGAATCAAAAATCATTTTATGACTACTGTTTTAGCAAATGGCTAATTCTATTTAGTAGAATAGATTTCATTGGAGATAGATGTGTCTTAGTCATTCCTTATTTACAATTTTTATCTTTAAATATATTTGATACCTTTGGAAAATTTTAGTCTTTATTATTTATGTACCATTATTCGTCAGATATTAGCTTAATAACATGAAACACGTTTCTCCCTCTCAACTTTTGAATTTTTACACAGTGCTTAGAGATACATTTCTATAAAAATTAATTATTGCTACATTTAATAAAACTTTAGTGTTTCTTATGAAGGTTTCAAAATTATTATAAATTCAAAGTCTCTAAGATAATGAATTAATTTTTTGTCAAAACTATTATTGAAAAGGACAATTTATATATTTTCTGCAAAGAAATATTTGATTTCTGGATACATTCTGGATATCAGGAGAAGGAAATGCATATCCAAAATAGAAAAGTAAAGTTAGAAGGCTCAGAAACTGAACACTTTACCTGTCTACATTGAAAGGCTGAGATAGTCAAATGTAATTTACTGAATCAGCTGACCCACTGGGAGGTGATTTCTGCAGTGATTGCTTTGTTTTCAATATACTGTCAAACAGAAATTTATAAACAGATTAAACACTTAAAGTACCATATATTCCATGAATGCAGAGTTTATAAATGAGTTACATTAATAAAAATCATATTAATATTTGCTGTATTAAAATGAACACATAATAAAAGAGAATGAACAAATAAGTTTGAACTACTTTAGAAAAGGAAACCACTTGACTACTTTGTCCCAGAGATGTTCTCAAAAGTCCATGTGGAAAATATGTTTTCTAATACATATGTTAGTTTAACAGTACAGAATTACAGAAATGCTGTCATCTGTTTCTTAGAAGATTCTAGAATAAAAATATAATCACTGGTAACTCCAATTTCTTTCTTAATTATGTTTTAATCCATAACTATATTAATGTATAATACTGTTTGAGTACATTTGCCAATTAAGTAACAGAGCCACTGGTAAACATATATTTTACAATATACAAGGATACTAGATATGATTTGTATCTGTCTTTTCTGTGCTCAGCAAAAAATGCATCTTTCTAAAATATTCCTATTTTTTGGTCTATTTCCCTCAATTTTATTTCTTTTGTCTCGTCTCTCTCTTTCTCTTGGCTTCACATATACACTCATTGCCACCAGAACAGAATTCATAGGATATGTGTAGCTATATTTACTTATAGAATCTGAGTCAAAAAGATAAAGTAAGGAAAAAGAAAGGAAACATAACTTTGGAAAAGAAGTAGAGAAAATAAGATAGAACAGCTGAAGGAATTACTATGCACAGAAATGTTAAAACATTGCCCATGTACTGAAAGAATTCACTGTTGAGCTGGATGGCAGTAGCTCATACCTGTAATCCTCACAGAACTATTTGCCAGTGTACAGCTTGCTGTCCTGTTTAGCAATGCCAAAACAGACACACTCTCACACTCCATTAAGTTTGCTTGTGCTGGGACACTGTGTTTTACCCCGAGTATGCTCTTTCTCATGAACATTTCTTCCCAATGGACTTTAGATAGGCTTCCTGAGATCGAGACAGAACATCCCTCAAAGCGGCTTTCCAAATAATTCCATTATTAATGAAGAAATAATGCTAGGTGTCACTAGGACACTTCATGGTCAGAGCAGAGAGTAGGCTTATTCAATATCTGGGCTTAGTCTGCTTATTATTTTTTTATTGTGCAGAATCCATTCCAGCTCATCATGACAACTCCTTGATGTTTCTCTGAATTGTTTCTTTCCATCTTGATTCAAGCTTATCCATTGATACTCAGCCCTAGAAGTTTTACTGAATTGTGGGAGAGAACTTCTCTTTACTAAGAATGCTTTAGCTTTGTTCGAAGAAAAACTCACAGCAACATGTCATGTATGCACAATGAGCCAGTCAGAAAGAAAGCCAGTGCAGAGGGAAACAGAGCCACAGGATGGACAGACTTGAATCCTGAGGACAATGCTTACGGTGCTGGACTCAACTGTGCCTGAAACTAGTATATCCTTTGGACTTTTCAGTTATGTGAATCAATACATATCTTTTTTGACTTATAAGAATCTCATATTTAGCCTCTGGTCAGCGTAAATTTATACAAATGACTTCACCTCCAAACTTAAAAGATCACTGATTACAGTACTCACATCTATCCTCTCTAACTATGTGCATGGGATGATTGCAGGCTACCATTCTGTGATATGCATGAAAACATAATTTAGTGAATTAAATTTTAATTGTCCAGGAAGAATTTTTGCATATGAGATGATTTCCAGATTTTATTCCTATAAAAATAAGAAGGATATACAATAAGATTATTTTAAATGATTAATGGCCCCAAATCAGAAATTACTATGCTTTTCGGTTTTATATGGACTTTCTAGATTAATATGTTATATATATAGAGAGATATCAATAGCTAGCTAGCTAGCTAGCTAGATATCTCTGTCTCAAGTGGTAGAGTATCAGCCTTTAGTGAGAAAGCGAAGTGAGAGCATTAGCCTCTGAGTTCAAGAACCAGTACTGGCACAAAATAATATTATAATATATAAACTTAAGCTTCTTTAATACACTTGTCAGTATAATTTGTTAGTAAATGCTAATGTCTGTCATCTTGAATGTAAATCAATATACAGTCTATGAGCTGAGTCATATTTCATTCTAAATATTGTCTCATTGGAGCAGTAATCTGTTTCATGACTGGAACTGTAGATATGACACAGAGAATAAAGCTATTTAGCAATGTTAATAAAGATGCACATCAAGCAGCTATTTATATAAACATATTAAAGAATATTAGAAATATTTGTGCCTATTTTAGCTAGCCTTATTTAAATGTTATGTTAAAGAAAAAATACCTGCATACTAAGATGTAATTAAATGAAATAAATGAAATAAAACAGAAAATTAAAGGGAAAACCAACTTATTAACTCTCATGGTAAAATTTTGACAATCTTACCAAGACTGAAGTTAAAGTGATAAATTACACCAAGTTTTAAGAAGACACTCGATGCTGTTAAAGCCATTAAAACAGGGTAGCAATTTGACTAGCTGGGACTTAGTCTTTTATATATATAAAAGTGATATGTAATATAATTTTTCTAGTTCTTATATAGATTAATGATCCAAGATATGGAATCAATTGAGATGCCCCTCAATGGACAAATGGATCAAGAAAATGTGGTGTATATATACAAAATAGAATTCTATTCTTCCATCAGAAAGAATGATATTGTACCATTCACTGTTTGTAAAGTACTGGAAAAACTTGGAAAAAGTTTTTAAGTGAAGTAAACCAAAAAGTTATTAAGCGAAGTAAACCAAACCCTAAGAAAGGTCTGTTGCATAATTTCCCTCATTTGTGGTAACTAGAATGTGTCTATAAATCTACAAGTAAATACCCTGGATAGTTTAAAAATGCACTAGAACAGGATAAATTATACAATGAGCTCTCTAGGCATTCACACAGAGAGAGACCAAGAGAAGATCACAAGGTGCAATAGCTTTGTGCATCTGATCATAGAAAATAACATTTACCAAAATGAACTCCAGGAATAGAGACTACAGTAGTTACGTTTTTCTGTTACATTTTTGTTTTCTTTTGTCACATTTGTTTGCTTGCTTATCTGCCTTTAGGAGGGCAAGAAGGACATAGAAATGGTGGGACAAAGGGTGAACTAAAGCATTAAAGACATTCATTAGACACTATGTTGAAAATGATCTAGAATACTTGTACATGGAGATGGGAGAAAAAAAAACAGGAGAGATCAAGGAAAGGGGTGACATTGCTAAAAAAGAAATACACTTTTTATCTGACATATTTAACTGCAACCCCTCTGAACAACACGTTACAATAAAACAATAAAAATGCAAAACATTCAGAAAAATATTGCTACTTAGTAGGAGCAGAATTCAAACTTATACTTCTCTCATGTCATGGCTCACAACACAACTTCTACTTGCTCATATCAAAACCTCATCATGTTATGTCATACCATGGAACTATCCTGAGATGATATTAAAAGCAATCTCTCTTAATTTGATGTATTGACAGATATTAAGAATATATAAAGTATAAAATTTTAAATAATTTTAGTTGTTATTAACTTATCCAATCTGTAAAATAGTTAATATTTCAATTACTTTCTAGAAAACCAAAAGTGAATGAAATTTGAAACCAAAATAAAATACCACCAGCAGCTCTCTAAAATCTATTATTTCCCTTACTTCTCATGATTAAACATTTTTCAAAGAAATAGATAGATCACATTGCTAAACAAAAATCTCTTAACTGAAATATGTACAGAAATCTTTATCTTTTCTCATCTATGTTCTCAGGATATGCTTCATTCAACTTGGAATGTAAAAGTTTAAGTTAAATAAAATATATCCTGTTAAATTTAAATATAC